GCAAAGGCTGTAATCCAAGGCTCTTCCAGATGTCACTGTTCCGGACCATGTCGAGACGCGTAAGGCCAGCAACTCGTTTAAGAAAGCCCATTTCAGCAGCTTGTATCCGGGTTCGAAGTTTTTCAGTGATGGTCCACGATTCAAGACCGTAGGTAAGTATGGGGATAAAGATCGATTTGAATAATGAGAGCTTAGTTTTCAGACTGAGCTCTGCTTTAGTCACAATGGGTTGGGTAGTTCACGCAGAACGCCGCTGGCTACTTCAATTCGCCGGTCGATCTCTTCCTCCAACTTTCCATCACTAGTAAATATAGTTCCGAGGTACTTGAACTTTTCCACCTGCTCCATTGCCTCTCCGTTAATCTGAAGGGAGCAACGGGCAGGAGAACGATAAAGCACTAGGCTTTTCGTTTTAAATACGTTCACACGCGTGCCGGTCACATCGCACTAGGCTGCGAACCTTTCTAGGGAGCACTGAAAATCAGTTTCAGAAGATGCTAATAAAACAAGGTCGTTTGCGAACAGCAACCTTCTCGACTTCACATCTCCTACGCCGATACCCTCATCGCCTTGGCAGCTCCCGACTGTTCTATCCATGTACAACACAAACAGGATAGGGGACAGGACGTAGCCTTGGCGGACACCAGTGCGAACGTTGAATGGTTTCGACTTAACGCCATTAACTCTGACGCAGCACCTGCTATCAGAATACAGTGATTGAATGGCCCTTAGCAGCTGGTCATCAGTCCCGTATGCACGAAGGCATGTCCACAGACTGTTGCGTGGGGTCCGGTCATACGTTTTCTCTAGGTCCACAAAACACATGGACTCCAGCTGGGCGTACTCCCACGATTTCTCAACAATCTGGCCCAGGGCGAATATATGGTCAGAGGTGCTTCGACTGGGCCGGAAGCCACACTGCTCTTCTTGGACCTTGAGGTCAACTATTTCACGGCACTTCCTTTCATACCGACGCAACGACGACGACGAAACCAGTCAGCAACGGAGTCGCTACCCGTTCTGAACGGAGGAGGCAAACACCCGATGCCATTACAGCACGTCAGAAAAGGCTCCACGAGAACGACATCACCAGTGGGAGCTTAAAGTCGGAAATTATTGTACATAACAGTTGAACTGCATATTGTATTTTTGCGCTGTTAAAAAAATTCTTGACCATGGCTTGTGCGCCAGAAGCCGAAACATCGGAATGAACTCATGGAGAATCTTATACAACGCCCAAAGCTATTTGCTTTGAGAAAAAGTGCAGAGATTTATAACCCTTCTAGTATTGATAAAGGATATTCAAAAAACACCTATGGACTAGTACTATTACATGCTAATTTATAGGGTACTAGTATATATAATTACGATACACTAAAGCAACTTAGACAATATGCTCTTTCCCAACATCATTTTGCACACACTTACATCAAGCAAAAAGCAGCAGAACCGATCGAAAAATCGAACGAATTGCAAATGTTACTTGTGTACGTCCACGTAGAATTTATCAGAATATGCCAAAAAAGAACATTCCATCCGAATTTTACGCGCATGTTAATCATCTGGCGCTTAACTATTACAAGTTTTACAGTTTTGCCGTCAATGCTGTGTGGCTGTGAGGCGTCGACACTCGCCAAAGCGGAAGAGCGCTGGATATCGGCCATTGAGAGAGCCATAGAACAAGGA